TCCGTTTGGAAGCGCATTGGTGGTTTTCTGTCCCGTCTACAGCCACCAGTTTCTTAGAGCTTAAGCTCTACTAAAAACACCCATGATTGATTTCATGGTCGTTAATCATGATCGTACTACGCTAAGTCGGGTGGCATGCGAGTCGGCTTGCATTCTGCTCTTGGTGGCGAGCGTCGCAGCGGACGTCAAGGGATGACTATATAAGCCGGCGTGATTTTGGGTGCCAGAAAAAGATCAGCACACCCTTCCAAAAGGCGCATGGAGGACCGAGATATCCTTTTCTGTACAAGCCGGCGTGATTTTTGGCGCCAGAAAAGATCAGCCTAACCTTCCAAAAGGCGCATGGAGGACCGAGGTGCCCTCTTTTCAAATGCTCTGCTTGAATGTCGTTATCATTGTGTATATCGCAAAATACGAACAATGAAGGTGGCTTCTGTCGTATACTTAATTAGACATGGCGGAACATGGCATACATTAAACAGGATAAATAGCATCCACAAATTTGTATCATTACTTGGCGTGCTGTCATGGTGTTTTAACAAAGCTTCCATTTCCGCAACCCCCCCCCCCCCCGCCGCCCAAGCACCAGTTGCACCTGTGGCTAGACTTGGTCATTTTGTTCATTAGCCGTGCCGCCATCTGAATGGCTGTCTTTTTCTGGTTGATGGCGATCGGTCGCCTTACGATGACATCCGGCTGGTCCGGTCGCGCCTTGTTCCGCTTCGTGGCACACCATTCCGCCGGGGGGGCGATGGGCCTGACACGCTCCGGGCCGGCCGGGCGGCCATCGATCGTCCGAGTCCGTGTGCGGCCGACTGCGGAAGGTGACGCCTCCGCAGCACCGCGTCCGGAATGACCCCGAAATGGCCCACGGACGGCCACATCCGCTGCCGGCCGACCCATTCCTTGGCGATAGGAGGCACTGTGTCTCATGCCGGCTGCCAGGCAGAGCGTGAGCGTGACGCAGTCCATGGACACACTGCTGTAGGGGAGAGCCGTCCAGCCCAAGCCGACGCTGTCGGCAGTCAGCTACGTACTAAGATGTGTGTACGTCCGAGGATACTTGCCGGGTGGCTCTCAATGTATGTATAGCTTTTGCTCACAACTAAGGCCTAGATAAACACGACCACCACCTCCAAGCATAGCGAGTGTGCAATGGTCGTTGAATGTAGTTGGCTATAGTTTGGCATCAGTTCCATGCAAAAATGAGATACGGATGAAAATTTCTCTCATGCCATTCACGGCACCACGTGAGATGCGCCGTTTTCAATAAATTAGGTACTTTCTGTTCGTCTGATTTGCTAGGGAAAAAGCGGCAGCCTGAAGTCATACGTGAAATGTGGCCAAGCACCCGAGGTCAGGCCTGCTGATGAGTTGCTTCAGTTGCATGCCAGACTGAAACCGGTCTGGGGAAGAACGACATTTGAAAACTGATATATTTCTTACTTCCTCTTTTCATATTAATATTCTCTAAATGCATTGCGCATTGCACGGACACATCAGCTCATCGCGGAGTGCATTTTCACAATGCGTTCCAGAGCAGTCCACCGTTTTGAGTAAAATCCACTCGCAAATCATACTTCATGCAGTCGTTACTTCTTGCAACTTATGCTTCGTGTAATCTCAAATGTTTTCATCAATACGATGGGCGCATGTAATTAATATCCCTGAACCCACCAAAAGGAACGTCGAAAACAAATGTATGGCATATGTATGCACACTATCGTCTCCCGAAAAGTATTTGAAATGTAGCCGTCGGCCTATAGCCGACTCGCCAATTTATGTGCTGGTGATCAACAAGTGAGTTGGTCAGTTATTAGTGTTTAATCCAGCCAAACCCGTGTTTTGGGAAAGGTCAACGCCTCAGATTCATTGAAACCATGGATTGTTCCATACGTCTCGTGTTAATTCGATCCATAGATAAGCTTGGTAGACGAGCACCGCCACCAATCACACATGAACCTACATTAGCGTACAGATACAAGTACACTTGATAGCTGGAGCTAAGCTTCTTTTGTAAACAAGATCATGTTGTCCATTCGATTCACTGCGAGCACTTTGATTCGTGGATTTCTGGGATCAGCACCCACATAAGCGACGCTTGTTATGCGTGCCGTAACCCCATCACCCGATCGTTCAATTTCCAGGTGAACAGCAGAATTTGGCGGTGGAAGTTCACCGTGCTGTAATGATCGGCGCGGACCTCTCTGCCGTCCGACGTTACTTGACATTTGACGCGGCCGGTACCACAGACCGTGGCCCAGCCCAGTCTGGGTCGAATAACGAGGGCCTCGGTGGCTCGAACCCACCGCGCCAGTACCAAGTGGATAAGCGCTTTAAGCAATTGAGCCACCGACTGCGGGGGCATGGCCTCATGCTTAATTTTTAACGGGAAATATTTTTAGAATAAACTTGAAGAAATATTGGACACGAAAATAACCCTACAACAGAATTGGAAAACAGTCCAGATTCGTGAGATATGCCAGCTTTTTGCATAATTAATTATGCTTGACCTTTGAAATAAAATGCTTTCGGTAAGTTATATAGAATATTCGTAGCCCCAAAAAGTATGTCGACAAACGCTTCAAATAGATCTTTGATCTTGAAACATCGTTTAAAAATACTCAAAATATCGTGCCGCAGAATTTTAAATTGTACGATAGATCTCGGAAGATGTAGGGCCGTGCTTAAAGAGCAATACAAATATTTGCTCGATATTTCATCAAAGTTTGGATGGGTGCCTCTGCTGTAAATGACGCAGTTGATCTTGGCAACGACGGATGAATGGCGCAATATCGTGGACGGGCAGCCGCTTGAGGGACGGATGATCACGATGGCTTGGAGCCATCTGTGACACACAGCCGATGTCGTGACTTCGCGTACAACGTTTTTGACTTGGGAAGTAAAATGCTAGGAGAGTAAAACTCGAACCCCGTCAGCTACATCGTATGAGAAACCGAGGATCGTACCCGGGTTTCGGGCAGCTTTCAAAACGCCGTTCTTAGGGACGTACCGTAGTTTTTCGGATCTTAAGTGTGCGTTAACTTCACCAGTTTCGACGTTACCACCACATTCAACACAGTACGAATTATCTGCCAATTCATGCCTGATGTGCTGCAGCAAGTGACTATACATGCTATCCGCGCCGGCGCTTGACCTGTGAGACTAGTCAAAACAGGGCAAAATGGCGGTCTTGTCAGATCTGGGTCATTGGACAAAACTGTGTGTGAGAGTGTGCAAGAACATGACACGCACGATATACTTCCGAGCGTCAAATTAGGGGCACCAAGCGTTGCCCCTTAACGTGTGATGAGGTGGACCGGCGATGGCTGAGTCTGCAGCATGCATGAGTATCAATAGCGTTGGTACACAAGGCTCCATTTAACATTATTTTGGGCAGTTCCGAACTGGCCTGCCGCGACTGCGAATGCCACGAATGGCCCGTTAGTATCGCAACATCAGAGCCGACATCCATATGTCATTGGGGCGTGGGTCGTATGCATACCGGAAGCTGGTTTGTTGATTTTTACGATTTGGTCTGATGCAACCTTGAGATCTGGTGAATTTTAGAGGCGACACGTGGCGGGATCATTGCGCGTTGTACCTTTGAAAACCTGTGCATAAATACCGAAAAAATTGCAGAAACATATTCGTATAACGATTTGTGGAATTCGAGGGCAATAGTGTGGTTCGACTTACCCTAATATGATAAAAAATTGAAGTTTCTGGGTCCGACGTGACAAAGTTGTAACCTCAGCTGGCCAGAATCTCGCATTATTTGCTAATTATCTGAAAACGAAGCACATGATTGGGTTGTAGTCAGCATGATTCATATTGGAGAAAAGATGTGAAGAAGCAAACATGTTCTTTTTCGCCCGATATTTCATTTACTGCTATTGTATCTCAAACCTCATTATCCGGTAACATAGCTGGGGTAGCCGGTGAATATTCGATAACGGCATCAGTGCAACGTTGAATCCAACCTGACGTGCTAACCATAAGAGGTACTGCGGATAACCTCGATAAATGTTGTTAAGAGGGGTTGAAAATTCATATAAATGGCCGTCTCTCGAGTTGTTCAGCTTCCTCTGACACATGAAATGACCTCACCAACGTTGACAGGGCTAACATATACATAAATCACTTCACCAATGTTGACGGGGCTGCCATATGCGTGCAGCCATATGCTAAAGGGCACAGATTACGCTACATATTTCCCAGATGCGTCACGCCACACCCCCGTCGGCGTACGTCACGGCAGACGGTCTGCTTCGAGCCGACCAGCAACCGCCGGGTGGCGGGTCTGGGGCGTGGCTCGGCTCCTGGCTGGCGCGCGCTGCCTCGGCCTGGCTGGGGCCGGGTCAGTATGTGGGCAGGCTGCAAACGGCCGGCCGCTCTTGACGGGGCTGAGAGATGGCCAGGCTGCGAACCGCCGGGCTCGGCCGCTCGCCGCTCTGGACCGGGCCGAGATGGCTAGGCAGTAGCCGCCGAGCTCAGCCGATCTGGACGGGGCCGAGGATGGGGGGTGGGAAGCTGCAACTGCCAGCCGCTAGGCTCGGCACATCGGCATCTCGATGGACATCCGGCTGACACTGTGACTGGAGCTGTGGTTCATGTTCATGTGGGATTGGGGGCGCAGTAAAATTCGCCGCGATTAAGTCGCCACCACATTATTGGCTTTTGTTGGTTGACAATCTGAACTGGAAACGACTTAGGGGTATATTCGTTGAATCTTACGTCAGACGCAATGCATTGAAATTTCCGCCACCAACAGTGCGTTAGTGTGAAATCCGGCGAGCACCATAACAATGAAACGACCCGGTCGCTTTTCTGCTGCCTTTCCAAATATACTTCCCTGGGCTGAAGAGGAACGATCAACCGCACTGGCGCCGAAAGACTCGATCTAGTTGCTGACTGCACCACTATAAGGTGTTCGCGTCCGCGCACGCGTGCATGTTAAATGTTGGAAATGACCCGACGAATGCTTCCTCATTCTGCAGTATCCTATATGAAGGCGCTGGACATCTGGATGGGCGTGTGCACCGCCTTTATCTTCACGGCGCTGCTGGAGTTCACGCTGGTGAACCAGCTGTCTCGTCCGCGGCGTCGCATGGTATGCTGGGTGATGCACGTCAAGAAGGGCATACCGGAGCGGCTGCTGCACACGCCCGACCTCTGCGAGGACTGGTGCATTGTTAGGCAGCAGCTGAAGAAGGTGCGTATTGGTCTCACTAAGTCAACCGTCAAAGGCTTTTCGGACTTAGTAAAATAATGAACACTGCTAAGTCACACTTTGACGAATAAAAAATATGTGCCCGATTGATCCCCCTTCTGACAGGCGAGCACAATGTTGTTGTCCATAACCGTTCCCGATGTGAAAATGCATATCCGAAGGCAACACACTGAGGCTCATGCGTTAGCTCGGCAGAAGTGTCCACGCCGTTTCCCGGTGGATGCCACGAGCCGTCTGCCGACAGAAGCGGGACGACCCGCCGGGCTGCGCGCTCGAGCTGGTGGAGGGTGCAGCATCCGGCGTCCGGCCGCCGGCCGAGCTGGCGCCGGTCCGCCGCTGCTACTGCCAGCGACGCATGTCGGCCGCCGGTTGCCTGGACAAGCTCAGCAGGCTCGGATTCCCGCTCGCCTTCTGCGCGTTCGGACTGTTCTACTGGATCCACTACAACAAGTAGAGATGTACCGCAGCGTCCGTTTGGCCTGTTCCACTGGGCCCACTACAGCAAGCTGAGGTGGAGCAGGGCGTCCGTTCGGCCTCTTTTTCCGTGCCCACCCCGGTCGTTCAGCCTCTTCTATCGGATTCGTCACAAGGCGACATGGACCACGGCGTCCGTTCAACTCCCTGCCGGGTTCGCCACAGCAGGCAGAGTCCGATGCCGCGTTCGGTTCCTTCTTCCTGACCAACTACAACGAACTGAGGTGGATCATAGGCGCCGTTCCATCTCGTGTACTACAACCGTGCAGCCTCTCCTACAGTTACGTCCACTCAGGGGCGGACACACGAAGTGGCCTCCGTGGGTTCGTGCTTCCCTCTCTACCTTTTCTACCTACTTTAGGTGTGTGTGGGTGTGGGTGTGGGTGTGGGTGTGAGTGTAGGTGTTGTGTGTGGGTGTGGGTGTGGGTGTGTGTGTGTGTGTGTGAGTGAGTGTGATTGCGTTTGCGTGTAGGCGCGCGTGCGTGTGTGCGTGCGCGCGTGTGCGTGTGCGTGTGTGTGTGTGTGCGCGTGTGCGTGTGCGCGCGCGTTTGTCTGTGTGTGTGCGCGTGACTTACTTCACAACACTAACCAAATCGGGGTAGACACGTACAAATAAGCAGGTGAAGAACTCGTGATATTGATTTATACTATGTAGCAAATTTGGCGCGTCTGCGGCGTCTAAACTTGGTTTTCAGCAACTTTGAATTGTGTCCTTCCGTCGCAAAAGTCAGCGTGCGCCCCTGGGCTCTTACAATATGTAGAGGTAGATAATGTTGTTCGGCCACTTCAATTAGGCTCACCACGACAAACAGAGGTGGACCAAAACATGGATCTCTTCCACTGGATTTGAACAACAAAAAGATGACGGCATCTGTTTGGATTAGAGACGCAACTGTTTCCAAAATGCCGGCCGGCTGCCCAACCTGCCCCGCCAGCTGGACTCTAGACCCCAAATCATGCTGCGTTACGATGCCGATCCACCAATAGCCTGCGGATATTGATTTAAATCGAACCAGTAAGTTAAAATATTTGTCTGAGCTTCGAGCCAATTCATAAAATATGCTGAAATATGTGATCAATGTCATCACATGCACACCATAATTTGCGCCTTACCAGCAGTAGGGTCGGAAAAGCAGTAATTCGAAATGTCTGAGCTAAACCATTTTTTAGTTCCCCATTGCACTGAAAAAATAATGACGCCAGCCTCAAACTTGAAGCGAGAAGAAAGCACAAGATACTGGAGTTTAAATCCTTACCAATACGCACCAGAAGTACGCACGGTTCCCCAGCTTTTTACACGGCTGGCTATCGCTGTGCAGTAACCTGAAGTAACGCCTTTTAAAGCTGTGTGACGCCTTCTACAGTTGATGGCATCGATTGATGGGCGGAGGACGAGTGCGGAATTGTTAGATGTTTGCAATACGTTGCCACTCTCGTCATTCCACAAGACTGCGTGCTTACACAAAATAATATCTAGTTTCAGGGAGGCGGAACCATTTTTACACGTAACTTTACCGCAAGTGTAAGGCATTTTCAGTCCGGTTACCAACGAACAGGAAAATGGGTCGAAATAGCCGGAGCGGCGCAGCTGAACTCCCGAAATAAATTCAGCTTTATAACTTTTTCCGCTGTTTTAGATTGGACATATCACAAAACAGCATTCAAAACGCATGGTATGACAGCTTTCCAAAGGTCAACAGTTTCCTCCATCGCTACAAGTTTTGGTACCAATGACAGCGTGCCACACACCAATGGCTCACTGGTATAATGCGCTAAACACGAATGAATGCTGCTCGTCCAAAAATTATGCTTTTTCCATTCATGTGACGTAAAAATTTTGTACAAGGCCTCACGAACCCATATATATATATATATATATATATATATATACTATATATATATATATATATACACATATATATATATATATATATATATATATATATACATATATATATATATATATATATACATATATCAAACCGATGGCAAAACTCAGCTGAAATACGAGTTCTTGGAACCATGGGTAAGATAGGTGTCCGCATCGCTTGTCATGACCACTGTTTTGGATGCCCCTACCCAATGATGGATTGATAGTACATATCAAATGGGAATTTTGGTCGCACGCCGATGTGCAGACGACAGGCCGTGATCGAAACATCGGCACCAGAAGAGGTAGCAAATGTTAAATGGATCGAATACTTTGTGGAACATGTTTGTTGAAAACTAGTGAGTGACAGACACAGTAAAGGCAAAATATTTGTGAACGAGAAGTTTCTGCAATTGTGATGTGAGCATTGCAATGTGCGTATTAACGATGTAACCTTCAATATACGAAGCATCTGTATTACAGCTACTTGGATGGCGATAACTACCATGCGTATTATTCGCCAACAGCTGCCAGGTGCCGTCGACCAGTGAACCATACTAGGGCAGCAGAAGTCAACCTATCTTCTGATCACTTTATTAATCACTCATATTGATAATGGGGTATGGCATACGTGTAAATAACTTAAATTAATTTGCATAGGGAGCATTAAAGCAGCACTCGACTGAATACCACCACAATTTTTAGATGAAGGGCCAGTCTGGTTAGTGTTGTATCAAATGAAATTAGGCTTTTATTATTCAAGTACCTCTTCTGGTTGGCCTTTGGGGGTTATATGTATCAATTTTTTTACCTGCTTTGCTGATGTACCACGCCTGTTATTGGTTGTATGTCACTTGTCCTTGCTAAACAAATAAAACAGGCAAATTTGAAGCTTTCGTTTGCGCTTGGTTGTTTGGTTTGATTGTGCTAAGATTTGATTACTTAGACTCAAGGAAAAATATCCAGTCTTACAAATACGAAAATTTTATTACTTGATTATAATTTAAGTTCGCACAAGCCTAGCTCACAGCTCGGCTTGGTTGATCTAAAAGCTGCATCTCCAGTGCGCGCACTTGCAGTGTGTCCACCACAAGAAGAAGTGAACAACGGTGTTCGGGCCCTTCGACGAGATTCCCCTGAAGTGAGTGACGAGGTCTGAGCGAGACTATCGTTAGTGTTAGCGCGCGGGAAGCCCACTGTGACAAAAATGAATACGCGACCGAAGCGGTATCATTTTTCATGCTTTTATTTCTGTAGGGAGCGGCTGTTACGATTTTCGGTATAAGTTCAAAATTGGACCTAAAATTTTAAGCTGTCTCAAGAGTGCAAGGTCAAATATGTCTTACTCCGTTCCCTGCTATCACGAGCCACAACCTCAGAAAACTTAAATAACCATCACACAAGTATGAACTTCAAATGAAGTCGTCTGTCATTAGTGATGGAATGATCTTCAATGAGGAACAAACATGCATTTGATTCAAATTACTGGGCTTGCAAAATTTTTGCCTTTCTTTTTGCGACAGTATAAAACACTGACGGAATTTTGGTAGTACAAAATTGAATATGTATATATATATATATATATATATATATATATATATATATATATATATATATATATATATATACACTTATGGCCGACGACGCTATTTGAAGTTCATACTTGCGTCATGGTTGTTTAAGTTTTCTGAGATTGCGATTGCTGATAGGAGGGAATGGACGAAGACATATTTGATCCAGCGAATCCATCTAAGGACATGTTTGAGTTAGACACGTACAGGCTTGCGACAGCTATTCTTGATTTAGCACATGCTATCTTTCTTTTAGCTCCTGGTCAGCTATCCTTCGATGCAACTGATCACGTAGGATTTGGCTTTAGTGTGACGCCTTTGGGAGGGATGTGCTCCTTGGAATCACTCCCGAACACGTAGCACTTCTGGCCTAGGTCACGTCTCGGTAAGCTGACGCCGAAGTGAAAATTGTAAACATCTCCTCGGTTTGCCATTTGTTGGAGCTGCCAAGATAGTTTCATGCTTTCTCTGATGATTCTAGAGAAAGAAAACCTCGGATTTTTCTGTAAGCCCATTCACCTGAGCACACAATTCACCATCCCCTTCTAAACGGCTTCAGCATTCAGCGGTGCAAAGCGAAACCAGCTGAAAGGAAGAACTGTAGCGAGGACTTGAGCTGTCAAGAGCTTTCAAGAGCTTGCAACAGGTAAGTTTTTCTAGTCATGTTACAAGCTCGTCGCATGTAAAACCTTGCTGGGGATGTCATGTCAGCGGCTGGGCGTGTCGACTTGGCGCAGGTTCACGCGTCACGCAGCGCTCGGTCAGATGGACGATATGCTCTTTGGCTCCCTCGAAGCCACACTGGTTGAGAACCGTTGGGTGTACGGGCATAGCTTAAATAGAGGCGACGAAATTACATTACTTCTTCCATCGCCGCATTCAATATGGTGTGATCAAAGCGAGGCATCGGGTCGTGGGTATGGGTATGTATGCGTCGCCGTGGACATGGGTGGATCGTCGTGGGTAAGGGGGTATGTGTGGATCGTCGTGGTTATAGGTAACGGGTATGCTGATCGCAGCATATATGATGAGGTTTCACCGGCGTGTGGATGGAGGGATGTGTACTGCCATAGTGACCTCTCTGTGATGATCACTATGGCCTCTGCTCCCTGTAAACTGTCCCGCGAACCGCTGAGGAAGGCAATGTCAGCGGCTTACCTTCAGCAGTGAGTCTCTAGCAGATGACGACAGTGTGTCGGAGAAACAATGTGTCGATGTAAAACACAATATAGGAAATAGTGAGGTATGATGGACACCCTACACTTTTAACGGTATATCTCAAACATGATGAGTGGTAACCACTAGATATTGTATTGTCATACACAGAGTCAACATTTTGATATGCTTGTGCAAGGGATAACTGGCTGATTTCCTATCCATGCAATACTAAAAGTTTCCCGATGGCTTGCAAAAAAACTGTTACCCCACCGGGTGGGGTGTCATGGATTTTCTATGGGGAAAACGGTCAACCAGTTGGGCATAACGGGCAATCGCTGCACTCACTCACTCGTGGATGCAAAGGAAAAGGCAACGGAACCG